TAGATTATCACGATTAAACAACATTAAACAAAAATGAACAAAACCCTAAATCCCCCCCCCCAATCCCCTTCTCGTCGCGATCCCCGCCGTCTCTTCGTGGTTTTCTCTTCTTCCATCTTCAATCCTAAACATAATGAACTCAGACAACAATGTTAGAAAAAATCAGAGAAGCGAGTATTACGGCTACAAGGACGATGTTGGCTGGAGGTGAGCAAAGCGATCTCCGGTGATAATGAAGGTTCGCGGGTGGCGATGACGGCTCGGAAGATTGGCGATTTCGCGAGCTCCGGTCGAAGGTACTCTGTTGAAGGTTTTCGGCGGAGTTTATGTGAAGGTCTTGAAGGTGATTTGCCGGCGGTGCTTGAGATAAGTTCCTTCTTCCTCTATTTAGGTTTCGGTAGTCATTTTTTTTTTATCCCCTTTCTTGTTCGATGGCCTCTATATATGGGCTTCCGAAATATAACGCCTCTTGAATGGGGATTTGAATGCTGATTTTCATTTGGTTTAAGGTTTTGAATGTCTGATTATATCTTTCCATTTTGGTACAAACGAATTCAAAACCTTCCTTTTCTGCTCCAATCTTCGTTAAATGGGAATCAAATCTTATTAATTCTGTGAGAATTCGTTTGTCCAGGTTCAATGATTCTGAGGTTCTGGATAGGATCTTTGGGATATTCTCTGATTTGCTTTTGCTAACTCGATTTTGGTTTGGCAGGTGTGGATAATAGTTAAGTTTGGGCCAAGGGAGAGTTAGAAGTTCAGAATGAAAACTTGCGCTTGATACGTCTGTTGGAGGTGGGGGTGTATCCTTCTGTAGGCTCTCAATATCGGTAGGTTCGTTAACACCAACTTACTCTCTAGTTTCCTGCTTCCTCTATAGTTAACTAACCTCCCTTTTTCTTTCTGTTAAAAAGTCTCACTCCGTATTTAATGCAGGAAGTTAACACGTCTCAAAGCTCTTGCCCAAAACAGTGGTTGTGAATGCGTGGTTGGGATGCTTTTCTTCTGACCGCCGGATCATTGAGATTTCTCATAGGCTTCAATGACAAAACTGAGGAATTTGCCTGATATGCATTGTGTTGCCTCAAGCAAAACAACCCGGAAGAAGCCCGTTCATTTGCTTTAGTTAATTGCTTTAGCACTGCAGCACAACTCTTTTTAGAGGGTTTTGAATCTTTCACCGGGTTGTCTCTGTATTTCTGGCTTTCTGATACTCCTTCACTCATGTGCTTCAATTCAGACGACACAAGTTTCTACGGATCAATTTTAGGATAGTTGAAGTATCGACTTCTTTTGAATGGACTCGTTCAAGAAGGCAAGATTGAGAACTGATTGGCCATTGCAAATCTCACTGCCTGCAACCTTTGCTTGGGATTTGCAGCTCGAAGAAACCTCGTGTAATGTGGGCGGTACACAAAGAACTTTTAAGGCATCTGAGTTCTCACTTGAGGACAATATGGTAGGTACGGAGACCTCTTTGTAACCTATTCTTTCATCATGTGTGAGCTCACTAAGTTTTCATTTATTCTGGCAGAAGAGGTAGGGTGTCCTGACAGAGACATGGGCATATTTCCAGACGGATACAAAGGCATGCAGTCGGTATCCATGACACTCTCAACTCAAAGTTTATGCTAGTCAAACTGAACTCGGTATTTACAATAGTCAACAGTCAGTAAAATGCCCTCAAAAATCCAGTTCATCAGGAGTTCATCGTTTTCTCAGCAAGCTCACACAGGGGATCAATGCGTGTTGCTGCTTGGTTTGGCTTATGAAGATTTAGATTTGTGCTGATAATTGGTAAGTCATTATGAGTAGTCCGCTGACATTTAGAGTTGTTCTTGATCTTGGTTCTTTTGTTATACAGGTGCAGGGTGTATACTCGAAGATAACTGTGATGTCGTCAAGAGCCGGGTGTATTAGAGGCTAATGCGGAGACAAAGTTCGCCATCTGTTGTGACCCTGTCCTACACCTGCTAAGGCTCTTTCACTGCTCTTTACACAATCAATTTAATCATAGAATCATCATAGGGACTCAGGTAATTTGGTTATCGCTTGATTGATGCAGGGGCTCGAAAAGGTGAATGGATTAAATTCTTCCTCAAAGTCATCACACCTGTCCAGGACTTCGGATACAGAATCTCAGGATTCTAGTTTTATAAGACCCTGGTCATTTAACACTCTGCACATGCTTGAAGGTTCCATAATTCCAGCTGGGGAATTAGTGATGATGTTGTGCTTGTAGGTGATGGAGAAACCCAGTTGCTGTTGGCGTTTGCTTGTAATTTGTATTGTGACTTGGTGTTTGTTGAGTTGCTGCTTCGGCGTGTAAAACATGCCTGCGACTGATGAATTATTGCTGACATTGAGATTGTCGAGTGATTGCGTTTGCAGTTGATGCTGAAAAACCTGCTGTGCTGAAAAGCTTGTCGTGCTGTTGGGGTTGATGACAGAATCTGGGGCAAGGACTGTTGGAGCTTAATGCACTACTTTGAGGAAATGTACTGTGGGATTCTCGTATTTAAATCTTGGGGTATCTCGTATTGACCTGTCAGGTGATTTGCTTTCATGGCTTGCAACTCTTGTAATAGTTCTTTTTGTTAATTTCCCTTAATTGTTCAACATGTAGTGCGAGATCTAACGATGCTTGTGGATGCTTCAAGAGGAGCTCTTCAAGAACATTTTGCTGTTGATGTGAGGACTCTGATGCTTGGAGTTTCTGCTGCCTAACTCGGTGTAACGAACTTGGCTGCTGCTGTGAAGCCTGTGACTGGGACTGAGATGGCAACGACTATGTTGCAATTGTTGTTGCCTTGAAACTTTTGGGTTGCTGCGTGCAGAATGATGGCTTGTTTAGGTGCCTTGTTTGCCAGAATCGGTCCAAAACTGTTGTTGTCGTAACCCCGATGGTTCATTATTTTCTGACTGCTGCTGATGTAAATTTGTTGGATTGTTTTTTTGTTGTCGTTGTCTTGAATCAAATGGGGTGGTTAACTTCATGCTTTCTTCTCATTATGCAGGTACAACTGCGTGGGGCATATCCAGCGCAAAGTGGAAATAGGAAGAGTACATCATAGATGCAGGCTGTTACAGATGCGAAACCAGGCCTTGAAGTGACGAACCTCTAATTGAAACTGTTTGAGAAGCGGCAAGCGAACCTGGATCAGTATTTGAGTCCCTTGAGCTATTTTGGACAGAGTGGTAACCATTTGTTCCAAAGAACTTGGCATCTCAAGATCGAGGTCGCAATTCACGAAGATGCCAACAAGCGTTTGTGGATCTTTGCATGCTCCTGCTTTCCGTATGATAAACCGACCCGGTTACGCGAGCCCTTCGAATTCAAACATCAGTTGTTATAGTTCCCCATCGTGGGATTATGTACTTGTTGCTTTAATGCATTGATAGTGGATTAAATCTTGTATGTAATGGCATGTTTGAGTTTTAGCATAGGAAGGTTTGGACCTTTGAACCTGCTCTGTATGGGCTGTTTGAACTTGAGTAATATGAACAACTTTGATATAATGTCTTCCCAACAAGTGGGGTCCCATCGTAGCATATTAGATTAGTAGTATCCATCATCATCACCTGAGTATGGCTAGAATACCATAAAAATAATGCCTAGACCATGCAGCGTGCGTGGGATCTCTTTGAAGAGCCAACACGGATATCCCTTTTTGCAAATCACTTATCATAAAACTTGTAGTGCAAACAAAATTTACAAAAAGGTGGCATTTTGAAACATCATGAGTACCTATGTATCAATCAAGTTTACTTTGATCCCAACCGATTCATGAACCTTATTGTGCTTTTAGAGGAGAAATAAAATAAATGGCTTGAAACGGTATTCGTAGAGTTCCACGCAATTATTTCCAATCTACGTCCTTGTAATAAATCTTGGATATAGTCGTCTTCAGAAAGGATACTAGCTTCTCGTAATAACTTGAATGTTCTTAATAACTCAAACTCCACTTAACCCGAAGAGACTCTCTTAGCTTTTCATTCCCCCCAAAGGAAGTTGTACCTCGCGAAAGCTCTTGATGCTGAGTTAAACTTGTGATGTCTCTTAGATTAGGCTTAGGCTCTTGAATAGTGAACTGTTGAGCATCAACTGAGCTAGTCACGTCCTTGTGATGTCTTGGCTGTAAAAATTTATATTTTGGCGCTATTGCACTTGCACGAATTGGTTAGCCATGAGACGTAAAAAAATTAAATTAAAGACGAATAACAACGAAAGAATACGCGAAAGGAGGTGGGATCTCGTGGTCAAAAATTAGGGTGCAACAGTTGGCACAGCCAAGGGACTGCAGTTTACGCCCAAAAGGAGTTTAGCTGCTGGGTTTATTCATATATATAGGTTTCTAGAGGATGGAAGGTCTCTTGAACTACTTCCTAAAACTCAAGTTGAAGGCGTTCCTCTTGCTCTAAGTCAGTATCAGGGAAGGTTACTTGCAGGAATAGGACCTGTTCTTAGACTGTATGATTTGGGAAAAAGAAGATTATTAAGGAAGTGTGAGAATAAGCTATTCCCCAACACAATTGTTTCTATTCAAACCTACCGTGATCGAATTTATGTTGGTGACATCCAAGAGTCTTTTCATTACTGCAAGTATAGACGGGATGAAAACCAACTTTACATATTTGCTGATGATTGTGTCCCGAGATGGCTTACGGCATCATACCACATAGATTTTGACACCATGGCTGGTGCGGACAAGTTTGGAAATATCTATTTCGTGCGGTTGCCGCAAGACGTATCTGATGAGATAGAAGAAGATCCTACTGGCGGGAGGATCATGTGGGAGCAGGGGAAGCTGAATGGAGCTCCCAATAAGGTGGAAGAAATTGTACAATTTCATGTTGGCGATGTGATCACATGCTTGCAAAAGGCCTCTCTTATACCAGGTGGTGGAGAATGCATTTTATATGGAACTGTTATGGGAAGTATTGGGGCATTACACGCTTTTACTTCATGAGATGATGTTGATTTCTTTTCCCATTTGGAGATGCATATGAGGCAAGATAATCCACCTTTGTGCGGAAGAGACCACATGGCGTATAGATCTGCCTATTTTCCTGTTAAGGATGTTATTGATGGGGACCTATGTGAGCAATACCAAACATTTCCAATGGATTTGCAGCGAAAAATTGCTGATGAATTGGACAGGACCCGTGGAGAAATTCTGAAGAAACTCGAAGAAGTACGAAACAAGATTATTTAAGAATGATGATAGAGAGAGGTATTGACGGAATTGGCGGAATCATGTTATTTGAGTAGGTTGTTTGGCCAACGTTAGAGTCACTAACAAAGTGAAGAAAGCCCGTGTTTTTCATTCAATACGGGAAGGTGAAAAGCCTAGGTTATAACTTGAAGACAGAGATGTACACAACAAGTGGTTGGCCGTCAGTTAGTGGTGACGCTTTAAAGGTCCTGGCTGGAAACATTTCTTCTGATTTTGACTTTACTGATGAGGTTTATAACTTGGATCTTGATGATGAACATGAGAATCCTTCTCAAAATCATATTGAGGTTCCAAAAGGTGATAATTTTGCATATGGAACAGCCTTTGCTGCTTTTCCAACAGAGAAAGAAGGGGGAGAAGCTTGCCATGCCATTGCTTCTTTATGTGAAGTCAGTTCAATCAAATCTTTGATTTCAAACTTCATTCTACCCATGCAGGAACATAATATATCAGGAAAGGATAACCGTGTTCATTGCTCCTTAAATATCAACACAAATACAAGTTGTATGCAGAGGACAACTTGCTCGAAAAGTATACAAGGGATTGCGGCAGGAAGCTTCTAGTCTAATCATTCAGAGGTTTTTCCGCATGCACATCGCTAGGAAGCAATACAAAGAAATTTACAGCTCAGCTATTTCTATTCAAACTGGTAAAAAAGAATTACTGGATATCTTTAGATATGTTACAGAAAAGCAGCAAACAACATTTCAATCCAAGTTACCGACTTCAAGTTTGTGGCAGGATTCTTAAAGCTGCTGCTTCAGTGGTGTGCGCATTTGATATTCCTCTTGAAACTCTTTTGATCTTCATTTCAGCATTGCCACACGAATTTACGGATTATGGTGGCAAATTAAGGTCTACTATGCAACAATGGTTATCTGGTTGTGGTTATAAGGATTGCTGTGCCGATTGTTGTATGAATGACATTTCTAAGAAGCTTGTTGATATATTTCTGTATTTGTTGGATGATCTGGTTCAGTTTGCAATCTAGTCTTGTTCCGTTTTCTGGTCTGGTGCCGTTGAAGAGGACACTGCACTGCCTGGTGCAGTGAGAGGAAAACTTGGAGGTCCTAGTCAGCGGAGGTTGCCAATTTCTGGCACCACTGCTGTATTGCAGGCGATGATGTCAGTGAAGGCCATGTCATTAATATTGTTGTGGTGCAAACAAATTAAAATAGATGCTTTGCTTAGCTCTGCTTTTACTTTCATGTGGCAATTCTTCTGGAGGACTGCTAGATCTCCACATTCTTTCTCAGAGACACAGGCTGAAGTTGATGCAAATAAAATTGAAGCCGAACCGTAATTAAGCCATGAGAGCCAATCCATGTCACGTACTTGAAAACAGAGCGAAAACGGCTCGAAATTGAGGTTGAGCTGAGGAAACAATTCATCACTTATCCAAGCCATATTGCAAGCCATGTGAATATAATCTCAGCCATGTTACACTCCAAGCTGACCCCACAAGCTTTTAAAGTTGTTTCTAAGCCATGAGATAATTGCAAAAAGTGACCATCCACGTCATGTAAGTGATCTGAAAGAGAAAAAGCAAAACGACGTCATGAGCTTTAATTTGCAAATAAAAAACGACATGAAGATTTTTCAACCACAGGTCACACATAACTTGCATCCCAAAACGCAGAAAAAAGACCCAAACGGCAAATCATTTTCACTCATTCTCATCTATAAATAGAACACCTACCTCACTCTATTCTTCAAGCTTTTCAAGCCAAGAAAGTTCTGCAAAATTTACTCTAAATATTCACTCCAAAATTCATCTTCAAGTTTCAATTCCAAAATTCAAATTCACCAGCAACAAGTTTCAACGCAAATCAACAACCGTTCTTTGGAAGGAAGAAAAAGAAGAAGAATCGAAGCGTTGCTCACCTTGAATTAAAGGTAATTTGGAGTTTTATATCGAGACTTTGCGGTTTCGATTCGGTTGATCCAAGCACCATTACACAAAATTGATAACACATTTGAGATGTACGTTGGATTCTGATCACAACCGTGTTGGTTTTGTGTCCCGCCGCTTTGATCTGAACAAGCTTCGAAGTGGTATCCATGGTCGTGAATAGTGTCCAGAGCGCAAGAAGAAGATGATGTGTTTTTTTTTTATTTCTATTTCCTTTTTGTTTTTCTTTCACTTGTTTTTTATTATTTTTTCTATTATTTTCATTTTGTTTTTCTTTTTCTTAAAAGATTTGGGCTGTATGGGCCTTTTAACATTTTTTCTTGTTAATAGTTTTATATTTTAAAGAAAATTCTTAAAAAATTGATTTTAAAAAATATATATTAATTTGGATTAATTGTAATTTTGTTTTGGATCTTGAATTTTGATAAGATCTCATCAATATCAATGGACTTTGGGTGTCGATTTTATCCACCAAGAGAGGTGATTGATATTGATGATGATTTAATCGATTTAAGATTCAAATTGAATTTTCCTTTCATTTTAATTCTTTTTCTTCTTCTTTTTATTTTTGATCGATGAAATCCATGGATCATAGATTGTTGATTATCAAGGTGGTTTAATCTTCATTATTTCAAATCTATGGACGAATAATCATTGAGATAATTCTCCTTACTTTGGAATAGTGATAGATTAACTTTGATTAATTAATTAAAAATCTTGATTGTGATGAGATCACTACCTCTTTTCTTTTTGTGTGGCATGTTTTAGGAGAGTGATTTACATATCACTTCTCTAACATGTATTAACACTAACATTTTATTGACCGGCCTCAGATAGTCGTGGTTTCTACATAAACCCGATTACGATTGCTTAACATAGCGCTACAGTGTCCCTTAATCGGAAAATGATCATTCGTGACTCAAACTTACGTTTGAAAGTCCAAGTATAATTAGTTGCTTGTCTTAAGTCCACTACCTATGAAACTCATTGTTAGGAGGCTTTGATTTTATCAATCCTCTAATTAGTTTTCATTAACCTTGGTCTAAAGTGCAAGAATTAATCATCATTGATCATATGTTCTAACCACTAATTACTAATTCACTAACATTATCTTTGTTTAATTTTGTTTATATTCTCTTCTTACTCCTTATTTCTTACTTTTATGTTTCCATATTATCATTTCATATCATATCTTTGTTTATGTTTATGTCATTTCTCTTTTGTCCACTTGGACCATATCTTGTTCAAAACACTAATAAAGGATAAAAAATCTCTAAAAAACTTGGTGTTGTTAACTTTGTGGTTATGCTCTTGGACTACTCTTAGACCTTGGACTTCATGGACCTTTGGACTTAGAATTAGGGCTCTTATTCCTATGCTTGGAGTATTGTGGATCTTAGCCTTTATTTGGCTCGCTCATTAGCTTATGCTTTAAATCGGATGGAATTCTTTTTTGCTTGCTATGGAGTGTGCTACAAGTTGGTTAGATCTTTCTTACCTCTAGCTCTTATTTTGGTTTCTAGGATAGTCACTTCATCTCCTCCCCTTCTTAAATTTTCAAAACTTTCTCCCTCTTTCAAAACCTTCTTGGTTTCAAACTTCAAAACCGCTTTCGCAATAAAACCTTGACTTTCGTCAAGTGATTTTTAAACTTTGTTTTTTCTTAATAAAAGTCAATCAATGTTAATCATGCTTTGACCAATTTCAAAAGACATAAAAAATACAAAAACTCATCAACTCTTTTTGTGCCTTTATGCACTTTTTCACTTTAAAACTTTTCATAAAGTTTAGACATGATTCATTTCTATAGTTGAGATGTAAATCTCCTATTCCCCATATTATTAAGACTTTGACATTTTCCACGTTGATGTTGAGTGATAGTCTTGTTGATAATCCAAGCAAATCCTCCATCTTTATGTGACGCAGATGTTGTCTTAATACTTGTGGGTGGATAGTCGCAGTTTTCTCCTTAAAATGACGACTTGTCTTTACATCTAAAATCAATCAAAACCAACAAATTTTTGTCATTTGTACCACGAACTACGGGGTTTTGATCCCATATTGCACTTTGTGGGTACGTAGGCATGAGGCGATAAGTCTCTCCAAACCCAAAAATCTAAAAAATAATTCTCTTCTCATCTCTCCAATCTCTTTTCAAACAAACCATTTTCAAACCAAAAAAAACGTAAATATTTCAAAGGGCTCCTATAGAGTACTATAGACGTTTTGGGTGCTAACACCTTCCCATTGCGTAACCAACCCCCTTACCCCGATCTCTGTCTCGTGTTCTTATTTTAGAACTCTTTGGTTTTGTTTGCTCTTTTTCCTTTACTTTATTTGGATAAAATAAAAGTGCGGTGGCGACTCTTGTTTTTTGAGTTAAGTTAATTAATAACTTACGCTCACAATTTTTACCGCTACAGACATCATAGTTGGACTTAATCAGTAAGTCTTCAAGTGGAATCCTTACTTCTATGTTTAAGACCTGCTGGGGATGACACATCTCCGCTGGGGATTCTGGAGAGCTATCAAGTAACTCTGCTTCGGGGATCCAGAAATCATTCTTGGTGAATCAACTCTGCTGAGGACTTCAAGAATCATCTTGGACAAATAACTCTGCTGGAGATTTCAGGATTCATCCTGAGCAAACACTCTGCCGGGGCCTCTAAGCATCAACCTGAGAAACCCTCTCTGGCGACTTCACTGGGGATTTTAAGAATCATCTTAAGCAAACACCTTCGCTGGAGAATTCAAGAATCATCTTGGGCAAGCGACCTTGCTGGAGAATACCTGCAAAACAAGAACGGTAACAACCTAGCTCCTGTTTCATATGCATATGTTTGACAATGGCGCAATTCCCCACACGGCGGAAATGCTACGCGTTTTTAGGGTGAATGCTATGCAATCATGCAAAATGCTACGACGCCATCAGGAAAATAAATGCTGAAGGGAGAATCCTCCTGTTAAGGAGAAAGGACCACTCTGGTGGAGGAAGGACTCATCCTGCCAAGGAGAAGAAGTCACACCAATCTCAATTGGACTCCGCCTGGGGAAACGAACTTTAGTC